CAGTCCAGTTTTGTAGAAAGGAGAACAAAACTTAAGTATATTCTGAGATCAGAATAAATTGAGAGTTAAATAAAAAAACAAAAACACAAAAACACAACCTGTAGGTTAAAAAGTAAGCAATATACTACTTCAGCTATAAACAGCATTGTACCTTTTCTGACTGCAATCCACTACACCAATAAGTACAGTAGCAATAAAGCTATTATGTTATTTCCAGTCTGAATATTGCATAGATGCATCGAAGTACCTTTCTTCTGTAAGGGGGTGAAAAATTGGTCACAATGTCATGACCATTCTATCTTAAATACATACAGTATTTATAATCCACTCTTTTATCCAAAATTGAAATTTCAAATTGAATTATAGTATTGACTAGGATTATATATTATACTGATATCCTGGTTTCTTGAAGAAACTACAATTGGCCAAATTCACACCACTCACTAATCCCAAACTAAGAAACAAAACAAAACACTGTCACTGAGCAAATCTGGATCTTCAGACCTCCAGTTGACAGGAATTCGGAGTTTATAATATTAGGGATGTGTAAGTTATTTATATTATACATGCATTTTATTTTGGTTATAAAGCAGATTTAGTGTTTCTCTTTTAATCCCAATTTTGAGTAAAATATAATTTACTATATTGTTCAAGCACAGTTTTTTCTTTAAAAATTGTAGATTTTTAAACATAAATCTTTCTTAAAATATTGCCAAACATCTTGTAAATCTGTTGCAATACACAGTGATTAGATACTTACCCATTAACTTTGAAAGGATTTACGCAAACTAATGTAAGTAAATACCAGGCAAGGACAGGAGGTAAACAACTTGACTGCACTGCATATTGGGATAAGATTGCCTTGGGCAAGTACATCCCAGGACATCCCATTTCTGATTAATTATCTCTTAGTCCAGCATCACAAAAAATGGATCCTCTTCTATTCAGATAACTTTCTTGCCAAGTTTTAGGCAAGATGTGACCAAATTACTTAGGTTTCCTTACAGCCATTGGAATACTGTAGAGTTAGGGCTATTGACTGCCCCTTTGTCAGATATTTAGAGGCATTTCCCCCGGGGAATGCATGCTGAATTTTTGTTAGGTATATCTTTAGTTCCTATGGATTAGACAGTAAAAAGCATCTCCTACTCCAGCCATCCTAAACCAATTTTCAGCACTGATGTGGTTAGAGATTGGCTAGCCTATTCCATTCAGAGAGTTTAGGATATCCAGAGTTCATCACAATCCTTACTTTGACGTGAAGTATTTAAGTAGACTTCCATTATAATTTTAAATTGAATAGATTTCTATACTGGACATCATTTTGCAGTGTATTTAAAGGAATATTTTAAATATAAAGAAACATTTCTTTATATTTAAAGAAATGGGGCATTAGTTAATCACACTATCTGAAAAAAACTTGTCATGTTTAATATTATATTAATCCATACAACATTATATGTAGGAATTCTTGAAATCTCAGACTACTGGTCAGATTAAGATATTCAGATCTGAAGATGGAACACAATATATATATAGCTAGATTTAAGATTCAGCAGGAGATAAAGACTATGGGCAACTCCACACAGTATTTCTGTGCTCTCCAATAAGCATCATACTCATAATTCTCAGGTGTCATCTCCATTGGATAGCTAATTTCCTTCTAGTTACTTAATTGGGATTGAGGAAGAACCACTGTGAATAAAATTTATGACCAGAAATGCTGGAACTTGGGAGCAGACCATCTTTCTATTGATGGGAAATCTTGCCTCCAAACTCTCCCTTTGAATAACTTCACACTTGCAATTTTGCAGCTGGGGGAGGTTGCTCTTAAATTGAGCAGAGGAAAAGTATCTTAACTCTTTTTTATAGCAAAGGCTAAGATATTTTAAAAAGTACCAAATGCCATAATTACGTTTGTTAATTCTTGGACATAGATATGAAGCAAGGGTCTGATTAGATTTTTTTTTTCTTCTCTCCTGGTCACCAGGATCAGCTCATGGATTCTTCTGTGTTTCAGCATCAGCTCTGGTGAGAGCAAAAACAGCTTTTGAGTGTTTGGGAGTAAAAAGAGTAATGGTATGGAAGTGCTATAAGGCTATAGACTTATATTTACTTACCAAGGAGTATGCTGTGCTGAATTCACTGGTACAGTGGTACCTCGGGATACGAACTTAATCTGTTCCGTGACTCTGGGCGTATCCCGAG